TACAAAGTCAACAATACCCCAACTTACTCATCATCACTTTTGTTGCCTTGCCCACGAACAGTTGTGTACGACTTTCCAGCTCGCGTTTTTAGGCCCAGTGCAGCCACTTGTAATACGTGGCGGTTTAAGCAGACGCTTTCAAACCCTGGATGGAGGGTTATGCATACGGTCCGGTCTCGAAAGGCTTCTTCCATGACCTCTTCGCAGCGATCGATCTCTTTGCAGCAAATGCACTCCTGCGCTTTTGTAACAAGGCCGACAGAGCAGTTCGAGCACGAACGTGAATGTGAAAAACTCGTCAAACACAAGAAAAATACGTCTGTATAAAATTATTAATTGTCTGACCTCTTCAATAAAACTATCGCATAAAATCAGGACTACAGCTAATCACATAGCAACGAAATTGTAAACTTAAACAAAACACATAGTCGCGCTATTCGTCACGCGCACGATTTAACGACGGGTATGTTGAAATTGGAAAATAAAAACATAAATCTACATTCCATGATAATACCATACCATTCATTCGCTGGCACCTCTCCCGAATATCTTCGTTGAAACTGTTGTTCCTCTTCTTCTTCGCGATGAACTCTTTCGTTGTAGTCCGCGGCTTCTTCCACGGTAGCAAGGGGTTCGCAACTGTCGTCGTACGGCGCAAATTCAGACAATTCTCCAATCACTTCGTCAACTGTAAAACTTTCTAGATCACTTTCAGATGTGCAGGAAGAGGAATCCGACGGAGATGACATTTTAAACGTCTTGTTAAAAGGCTCCAGACTCACAAACTTTTCTCAAATGCGAATCTTTTGGTTGATGTTTCTACGTCACAGTGCATAAATCACGTGGTCAAACGCACGACCGCTTTGCGGAGATCTCGCGGGCTATTGTTTTGCGAACTTTGTAATGGCGGACGGTATTTACGCACTTTTCAGTGGGAAATTTCCAGCCCCCCTACGCAAGTACGGTTCCAATTTTTCGCTATTTGTATAATTTTGAACATATACAAAAGATTTATGTTAAAAAAACTCGGAAATAAAAACAAAAATTTTCGTCGTAGTAGCACTTTAAACATCCTGCTAAAAACGCTAACGAGCTGGGCCCTGCGTGACAAAACCTTGCAGGAAAAAGTCACATTCATGGACACAAAGAAAATGGCTTAGAATTATTCAAATCCAGGAGGCTTATAATTATTCAAATCCACCCGCAATGAAGATTACTTTACATTTCTTAAGAGGCCAAAAAAGAAAATGCTCTTCCATTAGTGGGTAAATCATGCCGACCAGAGAAAATCAATATGCGTGTCACGACCTCTCAGTATGAAATATATTAAATAAGCGGCCAAAGCTCACATTTGCCCAGTCAAAACGCTTTCCTCCAAAGCGTAATCAACTCGACAAAGAAAACAATTATTTTGGTATGAAGTAAAAGTCGTGTGTTTTATACCGATCCCCCTTTTTTACACAGGCGAGATAACAATGACTGGCGGCCGTTGCATGGAACTTTGAGAACTCTTTGCGTCAACAAACATCTGATAAATAAGGCTGTCGGTAGGACACAGAAAACATCCTTTCCCCTGAGCAGCATCTCCAAAGCTTCCCTCTGCTCCGATTTTAAAACAAATCCCACTTCTTGCGTGAGCAAATCCAAGCAATCAACATCTGTCATTTTACAGCGAAAGCTTTAGAAATCTATTCATCATGCGCGGAACGGAATATCGCGAATGACTTGTTGAAAACATTACTTGACAGCTTGGTGACAGCTTGCATCGAAATTCAGCCAATGGGAATTGCCCGTGGCTGGGAGAAGCGGGCAATTCGAATAAAAATAACGTATGCAAAACGGACAGTCCGTATTTTTAGCGTCTCTTCCTAGTCTCACTCTCTGTTTTCAGCCTCGTTCCAGACCTTTCGTTTGACTGCTCGCGCGTACTCTTTCCAGATGAGGTAGTCTCATGAGTACGAGACTACTTTCAACAATATGACCATTAAAATAATTCTCCAAGAGTAGAATAAAAAATACGTTATATCACTGTATTCTTTCAGTTGAACATCAGGTTTAAAGTTCAACATTATGACATGCATGCTACTCAGTATATAGGATGGATATAACACTGGTGAAGAAATACGTAGCAAAACAGTACCCTGCCTCTGTAGACGATACTCTTGTCGTCCTATGATAACGACTGATCACATCTGCTACCTCAACGACTAGAACTCTGTTTTCCCACACTCTCGCGCTCCTACATTGATAAATATTCTTTCCTGTCCCCAATATGCACGTACTAATGTTTCATGAGATAATTTGTTTAAGAAGAAATAAATTCAAGTCAGTCTTTAACCCTCGGACTTTCACCCGTGGAGTTTTTGCTATGTTATACGGGTCAAGCTTACCCCTATAGATTCCATTAATTAATGAATCGATTTGTTTGAAAAATGAATTCGTTGTACGGTACGTAGAGTCGTTGCCGCAACCAGGGGTCAATTTAATAAAACTTTTACAAGTGTAATTTTTAAGTGTAGCTATTGTCTTAGGATCCGAAAACAATAGCTATAGTTAAAAATTACACTTGTAAAAGTTTTATTAAATAGGTGGTTTTCATGCAATCTCGGGAGACACGAATAACAATGGTGAAATGAACAAATGCTGGTGGACAAACAAAGCGAGCTAATGAGCGATCTTTTGTTTACCGTCCACCAGCATCAGGAGCACCCAACGAGGATATAGTTCAAAACCACTTAACATAGCATTGTTGAACGTATTTTAGTATTCAAACGGTAGATATAGGCATATTTTTATCCCCTAAAAACGTTTCATCTGTTCGGATTTCCTAGCTGAAAATCTAGTGATCCGAAAATTATAGGGATAAAAACTTACCTCCTCATAAATTTTAGCCAGGAAAAGGCTCCCGAAAATTCTAGGTGGCCTTTTTTAGGGTCAAAATCCGTTAAAAATGAGTAATTATACCATTTTGTAGATGTTCGAAAATCCTAGGAGAGGCAGGCAAGCAAGAAATTTTACAACAAATGCTCCGAAAATTCTAGATCTCAAATCGTCTTCCGAAGAGATATTTTCCCGAAAATTGCCGTTGGGTGCCCCTGCAACATGGCGGAGATGACGTAACGTGAAAACCACCTATTGACCCCAGTATTTCAAATCTGCCTTCTTTCACATATGCGTGATGAGCAGTGATTTTTTTAAACGATACCTCTCTGTATTCGGTCAGATTGAAAAATCTTTGAATGGATAAAGTTGCTTCGAAGACATTTACATCAAATTCAAGAAATCTGAGTAGGTAGAAATTTCATTGCTCTCTCTCAAGTGTGAACTCACTGCTCATTATGCATGCAGGAATGCAAATGAATCTGAAATCTACAACTACCAACGGATTCAATATTCGAATAATAAATTCATTAATGAACATTATGCCGATGGGGCCCGGTTAAAGAACTGTTCTGAAAATTTCCGCCATTTTATTTATAAATAATCTAGATTTACTTAAATAGTTAAGAAAACTAAGCATTTCTTCATGCTTGAGGTGATATTGTTATAATTTAAAACTGTTCAACTGCTTTTTTTTTGTAGCCTCCCTCGCAGACGTTCTTATGGGTTCGTCACGTGTTCCTGCCCGGGGAACGCGTGACGAACCGCTAAGAATGTCTGCGTGGGAGGCTACTGCTTTTGGCAATAGGCGAAATTGCGATAAACTCGCATTTTACGCAAAAAATTGATTAAAGAGCACATCAACATCAAATGCGCCACATTTTCCTTATAAAGTATACAACACGCACGCGTAGTTTTTTTTTTCTCAAAGCGAGCGACTTAAAAGGCGAAAGGTCAATAAGTCTACCATTTTGATAACCCCTTCTCTGAAATGAAGATAATATCAACCATCCACTATTAAAATAGTCTTAAGCGCTACAATTAGCCTGCAAATAATATTTGCTCTTATAGCTTTAATTTTATGCTTTCGGCCTTGCCCAATGATGTAACCATGTAATAGTGTTAGCATTTCTTGTTTCTTTAAAATTGTGCGAAAACTTCGATGGGTCAACATCTGAGCCCGCGATGAGGTCATGTGATACTGGTCAACGGGTACCCTATTTTGACAACATTTTCGTGGTGCGGAAGACAGACGGACAGGCATACGGACAAGTGACTACCCAAAGATGGATAAAGAACCAAATTTTGTTAGCTATGAGGCTAACCCGTCAGGAGCTCCGCTAAGACATATTTAAACCTCAAAACAAGAAAGTGCTTATTTTCTACGTTTACTTTATTGGAGAAATCTGAATGCTCAGAAAAATCCAAGTTACAGACCATTTTCTGTTTCCTCACGGCTCTGCAACTCTTGTATAACCTTACGGTAGGGGTTGTCAATTTCCTCGCGAACCGGAACACAAGCAAGCCAAACTTTAGACATAATTTGCTTAGCTTTGAAGGGGAAATTCATGACTACAATGTAGAAATAAACTTTGCTCATCTCAAACTGTGGGTTTGCATGTCCTTTTCCTGTGTAACCTGGGCTGGATTCAGCTAAGTGGATAAGGATAAGATTGAAGTATTTTATTTTACATTTCAGTTTTATGTGGGTCAGTAATGAACAATAGGCTGAAAAGTCCTGCAAACCCAGATGGCGTCTATGCAGTCAGTATGAACTGCATTTACAACGTTTCGATTCCAGATGGTAGAGTGATGAGACTCAAGTTTCAAATTTTTGACCTGGAATCAGATTCAGGATGCAGGTAGGTATATATAAATTAATTTTGGCTTGTCATAACTGAATTTTAATTTTGAGATTTCTTGTCCAAAACTTTTTTTAAACAGACTCTTTAAGCTGGGTTGTTATAAAGTTGTTTACCTAAAAAGAAAGAAATATGAAAATTAAAAAAAGTATTATGATAACTACCGTAAAACGTCCATTTCGGTAACACGTTTGCTAAACCTACAAAAAATCCAAACGGAAAATCATCAAATCAATTCATGGCAATTAAAAGTTACCATGGTCCAAGACATTTCCTCCATATTTTTCTCCTCGCACTTGAGCCGCACGGCGGCTCACGAGACGATAGAAATCCCATTTTAATTGACCACTCCAGAAAATACTATAACATACCATAATGCTCTTTGTTTGTCACCCCAAAATTTTGCATAAGCATTGTTTTCAGTTTCTCTTGGGGCCATTTTAACTCCCAAGAGAAACTGAAGACAATGCTTATGCAAAATTTTGGGGTGACAAACAAAGAGCATTATGGTATGTTATGGTATTTTCTGGAGTGGTCAATTGCGCTGAATCTCTCTTTAATCCAGACGTTGGTGTCAGAAACTGATCCTTGGGCCCTGATTGGTGGTATTTTAACTACCACGAGAATCAGTCTCGACTGATAATACCTTATCTATTGCATCTAGTGAGGAAAGGGTAGGGCTCCTTTTTACTTTGCAGCAAGATGAATTGGTAAAGATTTTCTCATACTCTTGCAGGATCGATTATTTGAAAATAACGAATGGTTTTGAGAAAGGTCAATATTGCGGTAACCAGCTCATGGGAAGAAACCTTGTTGTATCAGGAAACTACGTGGTATTGACGTTCCACAAGGTCGGGCGGCTCGAGAACAAGAAAGATGATTTTGAAATATTCTTCGCTCAAGAAATTCCAAGTAAGTAGAAAAAGGTGACAACTTTAGTTGACAATATTCTTTCACTGATGACTGACAACTCTTTTAAGAGGCTGTTCGCTTTAAAATCCACCACTTGATTAGGAAGGAAAGTGTTGCTGGGAAAAAGATAATTCAGGATGTCTGAAGGAATTTGGTGTCTAGAAATAGCGGCTATAGGGTTATTTGTCATAAACCTCTACCCCCCCCCCCCCTCCTTTCCCAATTACTTCCCAGTAAGTCAGGTTGCAGGTTGTAGGTGCACCTTGTTGGCTGGGAACTCTTCCATCAGCTTTGCTGCGTGTGGGGAACAGATAAATTTTTCCCAGCAATCTCCCAAAGTGTTTAAAATGGTTCCAGAAAGCTTTATTCAAGCTTTGTTGTTGTTTTTAGGCCTTTTTTTCAAAATTTCCCGTTGGGTGCCCCAAGATTCCTCAAATAAATCTGCAATGAAGACATTTTCAGGACCATTTTAATCAGTTCATGTTGAAAACAAAAACTGAATTTATCGTCTATGTCATTGTGGGATAACACTAAAATTTCTTTTATCAGTACAATCCATTTGCCACACACAGATACAAGTTGTATAATAATGATTATTATAATTATTGTCAAGACCCTTTCGGGGGTGGTCGTTTAGCAGGAACAGGGTCAAGAACTAAAAGAAAGCTACGAGGATGTATTATCACCATGCAAAACACTTACAAAATGTTGCAGGTGTAATGAAAAGCCATCCTTTTAATGATGATCCTGAATAAAAGGTGCTTTGGCGGATGTTAAACACGTGAAGCAGAAAGATACCTTAATATTAAATATCCTAACATCCTGTGTTTGAGATATGCCAAGAAAGTGTCATTTTTACCCATATAAAAATCAGAGAGTAGCATATGTTTTACATGTGCTATAGTTTTTTGGCATTCAAAATTTCCCCTCTTTCAAAAGGTAATCCTACTGTTTACCAGTAGAATGGGTGCCAGACTGAAAGGCCCACTAAATTTCCACTAAAAAAGCAACACTAAATTTAAAATATTGAATAAAAAAAGAAACACAGGAAAAACGTTTTCAAAACTGTCCATCCACCCCACCCCTAACCCATGTTTCTCACTGACGTGTGACTTAAGGAAAGAAACATGGGTTAGGGGTGGGGTGGGTAGGCAGTTTCCCAGAAACCTTAACTGATCCAACATCACTTCTGGCCATAAACACTACACAGCCATAAACACTACTTCTGGAATCATAAACTTCTCACTTAATAAATACCAAAATGAAATGCACAGTGTCAAAATTCTGTGTTTCCATTTGGTGTGTTCAGATGAATACATTATATTAAGTTTTATTTTCAAAATAGACTCGATCATCTCAAAGTAAATAAATTTACCGTAGTTGTCATTTTTATTAATAGTCTCTTTGATAAACTCTATTGTGGCTGCCCTCATTCACATCCTTAACAAAAAAAACGTACTGTTGTTGTTTCGCAAGAAACACTTTATTCTTGAGATAACAACTTAGAACGGTTCACACGGCAAGATGGCTTGAGAATAACAAGGATTTACAACGATGAACGTGTTCTCTCTCTCATGTAACTTAGTCTATAGCAAGACAAAATGGACTATCCAAGACAAATCAAAGCGTGCCTATGGCTAACTAGTGGATTAATTTTTTTTAGAAATGAAAGCTGACAATGAACTTGCAATTTGTCTACCGGTGTAATTTAAGTCTGTCAAAAAATGAAAATATGTTTGAAAAATAAATAAATAAATAAAAAACTAGGAAAACAAAATCAAAATGACCAAAAAAAAATTTCTTACCGCGGAAGTCGAACCTTAGACCTAAACGTGTAAGTTCAACGCGTTATCTATTGTGCTATTGCGCCACGACAACCAATGTTACAAAAAGCTCAACATTGCGCACCTAAGAAGGAACTCGTATATCCACTCAAGTTTTTAGAGGGAGTGTACGGAAACTCTGTGCGCGCAGAGAAGAGTCTTCGAACTCTCCCAGAAAAGAAAGTGCTAAAATTTTCACGAAGTGCTTTCCAAAAAAAACACACCTCTAGTTTCAAGCAGAAGAGGATCGAAATTCACACTCCGTATTTCGTTACGTTCAGTAGTCAGTAGGAAAACAAGAATTTCGATCCGCCACGCGGGTATTAATGTCAAGGTCAAAGCTTAGTAGAAAAAACGGCTGTACCGTTCTCGCCACGAGAAGAGAACAACTAAAGTTGCTCTTGTAAAAGCAACTAAGCACAAAGCCAACCCAACTGATGAGGTTCGTGTGGAGAACCGAAACCATGGTCTTGCCAAGTGGCAATAACAAAAGAGTCCAAAGACTGTTAAGCTTATGCGAAAGCTATTACCAAGGGAGGAACTACGCGCTATACTCAAAAGACTCACACTGCCCTTTAGAAAAACACTAAGCTGGAGTTCACTAACTCACAATGCAATTCTCCATAGTTGATGTAGCTTCAGTTTAAGTTGCACTTCATTCTTATAATTTTGGATCTGTAAATCACTATCGGTGATATTAATTTAACATTCTGCAAAGAAAACTAATGAGCTGAGCCCAGCGTGATACAACATCGCAGAAAAACATCACATTCACAGACTAAAGAAAATCTCTTAGTTATTCAGATCCAGAACGCACTTTGGAGAAAATTAAAACCCTTTGAAACTGGTAGACCTTTATTTATGAAGAATTAAGAGATATATTCGAGAACAATAGCAGGGTTTTGACGGTAAAAGCCGCACTTTAACTCATTTCGTCGCAATTGAAGAACACATGTCCGGCAATGAGCGATTTTAAATGTCTAACAAAGGCCTTCGTGAACTCTCTTGCTGACGGCATTGTACAGCTTGCGATTCTCTCTGCATTTACATGAGGAGAATTAAACATTTCCGTTTTGATACAACAAAGAAACATTTCAATTCAGAATGATATTTTCCTAAAAACCATGAGATTTGGAGTCTTGTCGTGAGAAAAGTCAAAAAATTGCGAGAGTTACGACAGTATCGAGAGCTCCCCTGGACGAGTGAAAAAAGGTTCAAAAATTCATAAACTTCTGTCTCAAAGTTGGCCATAGTGCTAATCTGAAACATATCAAATTCCACATGAAGACAACTTATCGTCCTGTGAAAGGTACAAAATCATAACGTCAGAAGCTCTGGGCACAATTCACGCACAGCACTTCTTGATCGCGGAACGGGAACGATCGATCTAGGACAATTGTTGTTTTAACGTCGGACGTTTTCGTGCGATCCGACTAATTACGAAAGGTGCCTACATCCGAGTGACACACTTGCATATCGCAGTGTGAACAATAACTCGTTTCCTACTACGCTACGCGTAATCCACGAGTTAATAAGGGGATCGGGCATCGGGCTTCTTCAAGGTTTTTATTCTAGGTATAATAAAATAACATTGAAAGGTTAAAAAAAATCCCTGCAGAGACTTATTTTGGTGAAAAAAAATTCCTGCAAATAGTAATACTGAAAAAAAAAACAACAACAACAACAACAATACTCATAAGAAATTGCCCACCCCCCCTTCCCACCCTCACAAAAATTAAATTGTCCGCCCCTAAATCAATTCAGAAAAAAATCGTCGAATACGATATAAAAAGTAAATTTCCTGAAGAATACTCGACCGTCGATAAGGTAGTTTCGAAAACGAAGCACTCGAAAACGAAGACCGAAGCACGAAGCACCCAAATCTCGAAAACGAAGCACCCAAAACTCGAAAACGAAGCACCCTAGATCGAAAACGAAGCACCCAAACTCGAAAACGAAGCACCCTAAATCTCGAAAACGAAGCACCCAAAACTCGAAAACGAAGCACCCTAGATCGAAAACGAAGCACCCAAAAATTCGACACCGGTCTGTCCTTTATAAACACGAGACCAATGCTAATACAGCAGGAATCAAGCACGATAACGAATCGAATGCAGTTCAATTCTGCTCAAGTTGTAAATGCATTTCCGCCGCTGCGTGGGAGGCCCGGTGGGAGGCCATGTTTTGGACGTGATCAGAAAACCGAGAACGCCCAAACTATTTCTAGACTGTTACTGTATTGCCAGTAAAAGCTAGTTAAATTCGCAGGCTTGAGTCGATGATAGAGAGCTTTAGATTTTAAGACGAGTACGAGATTTTCTTAGAACTAAGTGGTGCTCGCGCGCGAACCAGCGTCATTCTGGCGGGAAAACGTGGTAGCCGTCGTCATTACGAGTCTTAACGATATCGAAGCGGCGAAAACAAGAGAACAAATGTTAGAAGTTTGATAATTTTGCGATCGGGAGGGGGCGTAACCTCCTGCATATCCAATATGTTAGACTGCAAAACAATCGGTTTTTTTCTCAAAATCAGTAAAGAAGTCGGTAAAACGTGGCGTAAGAGTAATACGCGCGAGCCTCACACTCCGTTTTCAGCCTCGTTTCAGACCTTTTGTGTTACTGCTCACGCGTACTTGAATACGCCAAAATCTGCTGACGGACAGTTTTGAAGTCTACATAAACGTGTATGTGTACCGAAAAAATGCATATTAAGGTAAGATGTATCAAGTATAGCGAGACCAATAATAAAATTAATACAGTATATCCTATCTAGAAAAATTCAGTTAAACAGTTGGCAGGCTCTTATAAAACCTTGGGATGGATTTTGTGGACCTTTGGAGGTGTGGACGCATCCGCTGCCTCCACCTGATTCAGGTGCTTCGTTTTCGAGTTTTGGGGTCTTCGTTTTCGAGATTTGGGTGCTTCGTTTTCGAGATTTAGAGGTCTTCGTTTTCGATCGAGGGTGCTTCGTTTTCGAGTTTTGGGTGCTTCGTTTTCGAGATTTGGGTGCTTCGTGCTTCGGTCTTCGTTTTCGAGTGCTTCGTTTTCGAAACTACCCCGTCGATAAAGTAAGAAGTGAAAAGCCTTTAGCAAGTAAATCCTGTTTCGTCTAGAATAAATCGCCTTCTCATTTCTTTTCTAATCTTTAACCAAGCGAGACTTGATAACCGATATTAAAAGCGTTGTTGTTTGTATTAATTCCTGCGGCTCTAGTGGTCGTTGGATGTTTACAAAGGGCTGAAGCGAGGAGACATGGGCATCTAGTCTATAGCAAGAAAGAACGCCCCAGGCAATCGGTAATCGGTAATCGGTAATCGGTTGGTGAAAATTTATGGCAAGTGACTGTTGTTAACACTTTAAGCCAGTGGCTGACAGTGGAGAGAGAACTAGCTCCTTTTCTCATGATCCTTTGGTATGTAACTGCATGTCGTTGGATTACTGTTTACTTGACGTTTTAAAGAAAGAAAAAAAAAACACTCTCTGTTCAATTCACGGACTGCATTCGGTTTGTAAACAGTTGAAGCAGTCGGTAAAGGTAAGCCTGAATTTCATCCAATTGCTTCGACTCGTTTTCTCCTCTCAGCAACGTCTGAATCGACCGGCCGTTAATCCCGTCCAGTGACGCCATCACTACCCGAAAACCGGGTAGTGATTTTGATTGGTTGATTGTCTAAACATTCGCATAGTTATGCATAATTACGAGAAATTTTAGGGGGATTGTCGCTTGATATTCAGCGGATCGCATGCCTGGTATGCTTGCGTGGAGTTCAAATATTTCGATAATCTTTATCGTAAACAGCAAATTTGTCCTTGTCTTCGAAACTGAAATGCTAAATTGAACTGCGAATGAAGAATCATTGCGGAGAGTCGGTAGGTTTTTCATTTAGAGCCGCTTTAGAGACCAATATTGTAATACGACCTTCTAGCTATTTTCAAAGTCAAATGTAATGATTCTGTTACCTTTTCTTTCTTGTTTCCTTGTTTTCTTTTTTTCTTCGTTAAGGACCAAATAGCTTCTTTTGAATTAAAGCAAATCGTTGTGTTTTTGAACTAAGTGTTCCGTGTGTGTATTTATTCCATTCCGTGATTGCGACCAAGTTTGATTATGGAATAGGCCAATTCCAATTTCCATCAGGCCTCTGTATCAAAACGAGGTTAAGTGCTCAGCCTTTGATATGGAAATGATTTTAAGTCATTTTCACAAGAAAGGTTGTGCACTTGGCGCCATTTTGAAAGTGAGGGTTTTTGGAACTCAGAAGTGGCCTATTACATCACCTATCTGGGGTCCCCCACCTCCATATCAACAGGCCCTTAGAAAGTCTGAGCAACACAAAACGTCCTCAAAACCTTACAAGTGAATACAGGGAAACCTCTATGAAGCGGACTCCCAATTAAGGGGACACCCTCTATTAAGTGGACACTAAGCCGGGTCCCGAAACGAACGTCTGATATTTCCCTTTATAACGAACCCCTATTCAGCTGACTCCTCTATTAAGCGAAAGCGGACACTAAAATAAATCGTATTGGCTAATTTCTATTGTTTAAAACCTCTATTAAGCGGACACCGGACTGAATTGACAGTTCCTTGAAATACGTACTGTAGTCGATTAATAAAGATAAATCAATACATTTAGCTGTCAAATGACCGATACTCGGCCGTATGATTAGCTATGATTGTCATCCGCGATCAGAGTTAACCTAAAAGTCTGGCACAAAGTACGGCACAGCTTCCTTAGTTTCCTTGACAACATGGAACTTTATCACAGTACAAAGTACTAGTAACCGTTAAATGTTAATCGTTAACAAACATTGCGCTATTTTTACAAACCTCTTTTAAGCGGACACCCTCTATTAAGCGGACATTTGGGAAGGTCCCGAAGGTGTCCGCTTTGTAGAGGTTTCACTGTATGTTATTTAACAAGTGAAAATTAATGGGTGTTAGGTAACATAAAAAAATGAGAGGAGAGATGATATACGGAACACTTAAACGAAGGAGCAGTCGTATTTATTCAGCTACATATACATGTATTGTGTACTGCATTGTGTACTGTATTGTGTACCCCTTAGTCAGCATAGTTATGGCAGCTTTGCATGAAAGAATATATCCTTAATTTAAGGGCCTTCCCGCCTCGCGGGTCTTAACTGTTATCTGCTTTCTTTACCGGGGTGAGTGTGATTCCAGATTCGGAGTTGATATATTTGCCCCGTGGTGTCCTTGCCTTCTTCTGAAAAATAAAATAAATTAAACAACCAAACGTGGTGTAGGAAAGAAGAACCTTGATTTCCAATTTCAAGAATAGCGAAGTTAAGGGGGCATTACAGTTAGTTTTTTGGGGAAATGATGTTGATTTGGGAAGAAAATAAATTAGGTTTGAAAAGGTATACACATAAACCAGTGTAGTTAGTCCGCTGATGGGATCAGGGGCACCTTGTTGTGGTGGTGGACTATCTGGTAATTGTCTACAAATTATTCACTTCATATTTTAATTTTTAACAACCCCCAAATCCAATAATTTATTTTCTCATTTTCCCAAAATTTTAAACATCTTCCTTCCTAGCCTGCGTAGCTGGCGGTATCGTGAAGTAGTCGAGTGTTCAGATCTGGCGGCGAAGCCCCCAAGAGCGGCGTAAGCCGCGAGAAATTCAAACGCCTCGTCCCCACATTTTTCTTTGGATCACGGCTCCGCCGCCAAAACCTAAATGGCGCACCGAAACAATGCCGCCAGCTACGCAGGCTACTCCCGCCCTAAATTTTATACATTAAAAACATCCGAAAATCGTTGAAAAGTTGATAAATAATTATTGAATTAAGGACTGTAACTTAATTGAGTTATTTTTGGATTGAATGGAATCTTGGCCAGATATGTAAGTAAAAGGGTCGAAATCAACGAAAAATAACGCTTTTATTCGTACTGCCCCCTTAAAGACGTTGAAAACATGATAAGCTCGTCGATACCAGAACCTCGTTAAGGTCGGAGGAGAGATGACAGCCCTTGACCATGGCAGAATGAAAGGAAAGCTGACTGGCGATATTACAGGGTTGTTTCCGTGACTCAAGATGTTTACAATCTGGGGAGCTTCATAATGTTTCTTAATGTTCGCAAGAATCCTCGAACGAACATCTGTCCGCTCAAGGCCATGAAGCATGTTGACACGGCAAGAGATTTAGGCATTTTTCTAACGAAAGAGAATTCCTTTTCGTCCTGCAAACGCTAATAGGGTCTGCTATAAAGCGTGTTACTGAGTTTTAGTACCTGGGTGTCATCTTTGATGAACACCTCAGTTGGAACAAACATGTTAAAGCAATTGTGTTTAAAGCTGGCAGGCGGGTCGGTCTGTTAGGACGTGTTTGCCGTTATATCACCACACATAGTGCTAATGCCATTTTTTTTTTATCTACGATTAGACCGACTTTAGAGTACTGTGCTGGGGTCTGGGGGTGCTGTGGGGAAGTAAATAGTGGAACTCTAGAAACTCTGCAGAAGTGCGTTGGAAAAATTGTAATTAAAACACCTAGTAGTGACACTGCGATGAAAGCTTTGAAATGGTCAAGTCTTAGGTCCAGACGCGATGAATACATCCTAAAACTTGTAAGGAAATGTATACATGGCCGGTGCCCTCAGTATTTTAAGAACTACTTTGTTTTTAACAAGGACATTTGTGCTCGTTCAACGCGCCAAAGCAATCTCTTGCATCTGCCTGCTAGAAGAACAGAAGTGGCCAAGAGATCCTTTTATTACCATGGAAGTATGGTTTTTAATAGTCATGATTGTAAATGTCCTTAATCTTAAAAGATCTTGTTATTAGTTCATTTGTTATATTACCTTGTACATATTTCATTATTATTATTATTATTATTATTATTATTATTATTATTATTATTATTATTATTATTATGTAAAATTTAGCACAGGGATTTTCCCTGGGGACAAATATCCAGTCAAGTCTCATCCCGAGACCTCAGACTTCCAGCACCTTTCTGAGGATATGTGCCGATCCGAGGAGTGCCGACTTTTGCATCGTTCTTGTTCGGTTTTTAATTCCTAGTTGCTCCAAGTGGCCTGCCAGCTTCTTTGACACTGAACC